AAAGTTGCGAGCACGTGAGTGAATGTGAATGTGTGTGCATGTGTGCGTGTGTATATGTGTGTGTGTCTCTGTATAAGTGACTTCCTGGTTACAACTGTTTAACAACATCTCTAGTCATAAAAAAGGGTCATCTCAATCCTATAGAGCACCTTCGAGATGTGGTGGAATGGAAGATTCACATCACTGATGTGCAACCAAATTTGCAGTAATTGTGTGATGCTATCATGGCAGTGTGGACCAAATACTCTCAGGAATATTTCCAGCACTGTGTGGAATCTGCACCGTAAAGATTTAAAGCAGTTGTGAAGACAAAGGTAGGTCCAATTCATTACTAGGAAGGAATACCTAATAATGTATATTGTCCTTCACTTTAATTTTTTCTAAAACATATTAATGTTATATTGGGCTGTTACATTTTAATTGTTGGTGCAGTGCTGTCATAGAAATGCATTATTTAAAAAAAAACTAATTTAACTTTTGGTTGTTTTTGTGGCATCATCTTTAATGAGAGTCTTCTTAGTAAAAATACTCATACTCCTCTATGGGGAAACTTTGCCCCCTCCCCTTTCATCTGTCCTCCTGGCTTCAGAAAATAAATAAATAAATCAGCATTACCAGGATAAACTGATCCTGGTTCATCCAGTTTATTGTGCATATTTTCTAGGACATACAGAGAACAGGCACCAGGAACCCTAAATCCAGTGTAAGGTTGTCACAGCCACCTAATAGCTTGATAGTCGTATTAAGAGAAGTAGAAAATACTTCAAGTGTCTGATTCATCAACAGTATGGTGAAAAAAGACCTCACATAGCCCACAGAAAGGCTACATCTGTCAATCTGTGGAACCAGCAATGAATACAGGAAGTCTGGATCGACTCTTTGTTGAAAAAGTCCAGTCTTTGATAATATGAGTATCACCCAGTAGTGCAGAGCTTGGATGAGGACGATGGGTGAAGGGACTCACCCAGTTCTAACTGCCTCTATCCTCAGGATGTCTACCCTGCCTTTTGTACTTTAACACAACTTATTAGTAATTCCATCACATATGAATGTTCAGTCACATATGAATTCATTTCCCTTGATGTTTCATTCATTTTATAGCATTTTACTTCAATTGTCTCAATCTCACATGAACATCCATTTATAACATGATACCTTTTTAACTAATTTAAAAGAGTACTTTTCCTCACTTTT